AATGATCCATGAACTGAAAGATGACTTTACAGAAAAGGTGAATTTGAGAAATCAGAATTTAATATTTTAATCAAAATATATCATAAAAGCCTTAACTGATACAGAGTTCCATGTCCTGATGTCCTGCTAATCTGGCTTGTGGTCTTTCAAGATAGATTTGCAGATCGTCTATAGGCTACTTGTTTAAGCACTTCACCCTGGTTGTTTGAGAGAAAGAGCCCTGGGATGTAATCTGGTTATAGTTCATGCTCTAGCACTGAGCATCTTCTCTTTGAGGCTCTGTATTCACATCTGAAAACTGTATGAGAATAGTCTTTACCTTGCTTACTCCAGCAAATGGGCTTAATTAAGATTGACTCAGGAGTTGTCTAATAACAAATTCTAAAGCCCTTAAAGTTTTCTGGAAATCTGGAACCCTTACCAAAATCACCTTGGGAGCATGCAAAGCAGAGCCTCATCCTCTGAGATTCACCTGGTCTAAAGTAGAGTCTGGCACCTGTACTTTTCAGAATCTTTACCAGAAATAAATTCCTGCATCTTGTAAGGAGGACAAGCAAATGAACATGCATTTTATCATGACTTAACATGTTATAAAATAGTTCCTATTTCTTAAAGGAGTTAAGTTTCCATCTCATGGAGAGGGAATGCATAATCCCTAGCCTGCATCCACCCCCCAATTAAAATCTCAAGAACCAATCAAGAGGAGCTTGTCAACTTTTTCATACTTGTCTTTATAAGAAGGAACCCTGTAAGACTTCAAGGGTACTTTTCCCCTTCCCAGGCACCCTGCACCAGGAGTTCTGGATCTTTCTCTCATCTTCCTTCTTAATAAAAATCCTGCTCAATTGCTTACCTTGGTGTTCACATTGTTCATCCTTGGACTCCATGGAACATGCATCTGATCCTGACTCCTGCAGGTAGCAGTATAATAGGCCTGACAGTTGAGAGGGAAATATTTTAAAAGCAAAATAAAACAAAAAGAATCATGAGGAGGAGACCCAAAATCTGCACACAAAATCCTTTTAATGTTTACCTGGATTCTGAGATACCCACATGAAGGCAAGACTCCAAAAGGTATAGAGGGAAACAACTTATAAAAACTGAAAGAGCTGAATAGAAGTCTTAGGAGCTTCCCACTTCATGGTGGACAGAGTTTGGGGTGAGGTACTAGCAAACCAAGAATTTGAACAATTATGATAAATATGCTAAAGAATTTGCTTGGATACAGTAGATGAAGAGATAAAGAATTTAAGATGATACATGAACACTGTACACAAGAACCAGCAAAACCTTGAAAAATAAATTCTAACTAAAATATACAATATATGACAACAAAAATTCAAAAATTAAATGAATAGGATTAATACCAGATTTTAACATCAGAACTGATATTGAAGACAACAGTGTAGAAATAATCACAGCCAAGAGAAAAAAGGATTGAAGAACATGAACAAAGCTACAATGACCAGTAAGACAGAATCAAGTGGACCAACGTGTAATTGAAGTAAATAAAAAAAAAAGAGACTATGAAGAATTGATATTTGAGGAATGTCTGCAAAAAATTTCAATGATCAAAAATAGCAAACTATAAAAAAGTCTGTTAAGTTTGCACAAGATGAATACAAAGAAAGCCATATCTAGACATTAGTCAAATTACAGAAAAATCACTAATTTTAAAAAATTTTTAAAAGAACTGGGAAACGGAGAACAGTGAGAAGACAAATTACATCAACAATAAGAAGAGTGACAGCTTACTATGAATTCCAAAATAATGATAGCCAGAAAAAAATGGAGTAATATCACAAATTGCTGGAAAAGTTTTAAAAAGTTTATCCAGCAAAAATATGTTTCAGAAGTGTAGGTGAAATAATGACATATCACATCAACAAAAGTTGATACAATTTCTTATCAGCAGTCCCCATCCAGAACAACTCAAGAAAGTTTTTCATGCTAAGTGGAAATGATATCAGATGGAATTGAGATCTAAAGAAGGAAAAAAACAGAGTAGAATATTACATGTGTGTTTAATATAAAAGACCCTTTCTGTTTTTAAATTCTCTTCAAAAATGATTATTGAAAGGCAAAAACTAACACTGTGTGTTTTTACAACAAATTAACATATATGACAATAAATATAAAGAACAGAAAGTATAGGATGTTATGTCTGTTGAGCATACATAAAGTGATGTTCTATTAATGTAAAATCCCTAGAAGGGTCCCTGCAGGAAACGATAGAAAACAAAATGGAGAGATATAGCTAAAAATTCAATAGAAGAAATAAATGGAATACTGAAGAAGTGCCATTAACTTAAAAAAAATAGTGAAATTCTGAAGAGATTCCATTTAAGATGAAAGAGCGCAAGGATCAAAGAACAGAAGGAACAAATAGAAAACTAGCAAGATGATGGATAGAAACACAGCCACATCAATAGTAGCATAAGATATAAGTGGTCGTTTCAAAATACAAACTCCATTTCAGAGGCAATATTTTCAGAATTCATAAAAATAGACAGTCATATGCCGTTTAGAAGAATCATACTTTGGATATAAAGATAGAGTTGAAAGGAACAAGAGGAAAATATTAAGCATAAGCCAGATAACGTAGCTGATATCGTGTACAGATTAGACGCCAGTTGAGGACCTGAAGCAGAGAGGGGGTACCTCACGATGTAAAAGGACTCTCACAGTAATTAATAGAGCAAGTGAGTCAGTAAGAACGTGGAAGATTTGAACAACACCATTAAACCACTTGACGCTGATTGACATATATAAGGCATTGTGCCAAACAACTGCAGAATAAGCATTCTTCTTGAGTACATGTGACATATCACAGAGATACAACCATACGGCAATAAAGAAATCTCAATGGATTTCAAAGGATTGGAATCCTACTGACTGTATTATCTGTTCACATTGGAAGTAAACTAGAAATCAGAAATAATAAGTTTTCTGTAGAATATTTGAAAATTAAGGAACATATTTTTAAACATATTTTTTTAAAAGGCTGGGGTCAATAATGAACTCAATAAATTTCTAACTGGATGCAACAAAGGGTAAAAAAAGACAGAAGACCAAAATTATCAGGGGTGAAAAAGAGCACATTACTGCAGATTCCATACTTACTCCCAAAGACAATAAGTAGGCATTTGTGCTATAAATTGAACAGCTTACTGAAATGAACAGATTCCTCAAAAATCTTTGCAGGTGGTGGTAATGCACAGCAGAGGTGGCCATCTGTGGTTCAAGGATGCCCATCTTCCTAACCACCTGGGGCTGCCTCTACTCTAATCCATCCCGCCCCACTTGCAACTGCTCCTAACTCCCTCACTTCAGATCTTTGAGTGCTCTTGCTCGCCCACAAGATGATGTTCTGATTTTGTGATCGAACATAAACTCACTTCATGACTATTTTTGGCTAACTTATTCAGCTTCTTATTTTCATTCACGTCTGTATCTTATATTTCAGTTACAAAACCAAAAATTTTAACTGCACATCTTATTGATTCTGTGGTGCGTATTTTTCATTTCTTCTCTGACTTCGGCATGTGTTTTATAATTAATGGGATCATATGACTAATTTGCACGTTGCTTTTGTCTTAGTGATATCTAAAAATAGCAATGGAATCTTTATAGACACTATGCTTTCTTTCAAGCCTTTCTGATTAATCACACAGACTTCTATTTGTCTTGGTTTCTCTTCCTTGTTTTTTATACCTGGTGATCTAAACTCGTAACAGTGCTCACACACATCACCTGCAGGTCAAGTTTATCTTAACAAAACTTATCTATTTTCCACTAGGTGCTACGTTGGTGCTACTATGTGTGTACTCTATGCCACATGCTTATTTTGGCTCAGGGACATTGACTTAATGGCACAAAAGTCTCACAGCTAGCTAAAAAGGGTCATGACTGGAATAGAACATACATCTATTTGTGCCTTGAAGTCCTTGTTCTTCCCCCTTCACCAAAAGTTCCTTTCTAACAATGCCCCATTATCTGCCAAATTAGGCATCCACTTCTCAGAACTCTTACAGTATCTTTTCACTGTATTGTAATAATTTTTCTTCCATATCTTTCTGATTTATGAGGCAATAAAACAATTTGTTCTTATATCCTTAAGACTTCAGCAGAGTGTCTGATGTATGATGGTTCTATATAGTAAGTAGTGTATGAAAGGAATGAATGAGAAATCCCCGATAATAGGATTTTCCTATTTATGCTCCTTCCAAAATTACTGACTACAGACAGCAACAGTGATACTGGAAAATTCAAACTGCCAGAGATAGGATTATGGGCTAGATGTGAGAAGCCTGAACTGTAAGGCAGTGTGACAAATGACTTTGATCCAGTATTTGCTCTTCAGGTCAGAAGGATTCTGAAGCTTTCTTAGCTCGGTGGGAAGCACAGGGATTAATACTGTCCATGGTAGTCTTCCTAGGACAGATTGGCCACCTGCACTTGAAAGAATCCAGTTGTCTCCAACCCCAGGGCTCTTGCTGCCGCCCTCAAACCTCTGTGTAAATATCACTTCATCAAAGAGGCAGATGCCACCCTTCATTCTAAACTAGCACATTTCCCACAAAACACTTGCTGTCCCTGTTTGTGCTGTGTATTTATTGTCCATGTGAGCACCTGATGTGCCACGTCACACATCTTTCCATGGTGTGCTTTTGCTTATTCACTTCCTGTTTGTCTCCCCATGTAATTTCAGAGAGGACAAAGACTTTCTATATACTCAGCCTCTCCAAGAACACCCTGCATATAGCAAATGTTGAATCAATAACAAATTAACCAAAGTAATATCCTCTCCATTCTCTTCTCTCAGTGGCAATAATTGCAGAGAAAAAAACATGAGAGGAGATACCTACCTTCTTAAAGAATTTATTATACTTAATGTGGATCAATTTTGTAAATTCCCTAGCATTGATGTCTAATATATTCTGCATCACTGCTCATAATTCTCTTATTAAATCTTGTACTCTCCACCTCTTTCCTTTCAGGTCTTCACCGAATGGAATTTGCTGTTTCTCTAAGAAGAGAGAATTTTGAAACACCTTTAGCTATCCATTCCAAGAACCAGGCTCTTTATTTCCTTAATGCATGGTATTAAGGATTTGAGAAGATTAACCCTTACATTTTTAATTGTTCTCTCTCCCAAGCATTTTCTGTCACTTTTCTGAAAATAGTCCTCCAGCAAGTCCAGACTGTGGTAAATTGGCTCAACTGCAGATGTGCAACGTCAATTTGAGTAGCAGGCCTGATGATCTCTTTCTCTTGGACCTCCTGCAAGGTACGGAGCCAAGTTTCAAAGAGGAGAAAAGGGTGCACTTTGATCCAGTATTTGCTCTTCGGGTCAGAAGGATTCAACACCACATCTGTAGGCTTAGGAAATAGGGTGATGCAGTTGCCTACTTCAATATCACTGTCACAGATGCACACTAGTCGTGGTGCCCAGTTCCTGTAACACATTTGCATCTATTAGTTAGGATATAATTTCAGTACCTTTTGACCAAAATAGATAGATAGAAGATAGAAATCATTTTACTTTTTTTAGTAAAAGTTGAAACCTCTCTGGTAACCAGGAGTCACCAATTTCTCAGGAGTCCTGGCTCTTTTCATCCAACATTCCCAACATTCTTTGCAAGAATTTTGCTACACACTACTTTATTTCTATTCCTGGCATCAAGAAAGGGGTGAGAGAGACAGGAAGTACATATCTCACTCTTCTAAGGACACAGGCAAGGAGTACACTGTCTCCACTCACCTCTTATTGTTAGGACCTCATCACGTGAGCACAGCTGGGTGAAGAGGACAAATAGACACATGTGTTTATTCTTGGAAGCTGTGTAGACGGGTCAACATTAGAGTTGCTCTTACTATAGGAAGAGAGAATGGTTAGTGGTGCGTGGGTGAGAAGGGTTAGAGACTTCAGTACCATTTGAAGTCAGGAACCATTTGTGGAAGATTTGAAATTCTCATTGAATGTCCTTATGGTCCAGAATGTGGTTTTCTGAGAGCTGGGCATTTGATGGAGTCAGTAGGAACTATTTCTCAGTTTTTTTTTTCTTTTTTGTAGGATTTAAGCTGGTATCGATTTAAGCCAAACAAACTTTCTGAAGGTCTGGACCTTCACCAGACCTCAAATCTGCTTGGGTCTTAGAATCGCCAGCCTCTGAACTGTAAGGAATAAATTTTTGCTCTTTATTATCTACCCAGTTTGTGGCATTTTGTTATAGCACTCTAAATAAACTACAATGCTCTTGAAAAGCTGAAGTGTAAACCAGAAAAAGAGCCTAATTTAGAATGAGAAAAATGACTATTGATTGGCACAGGCAGTTTGTGTTAACAGGATCTTAGGGAAAGCTGGCAGAAAAGCCAAGATAATTGGAGAGTTGCTGCATGAGTATAAAGAGCAACAAAAGAAACAAGAAATTCCTAACATTCAACAAAAGTGGACCAAAAAGAAAGAAAAATCCAAGTGATTTTTGGTTTTATAATATAGAGTTACAGGATGTGGAGAATATTTAAAGATTATTTAATTCAGCTTCCATTTCTGAGTAATTAGAAACAGAAAATTCAAAGTGGGAAGTGACTTGCCAAGAAAATTTCATAGTTCATCAGGGGCAGAACCAGGGCAAAAGCAAGACAAAATGGTGCAGAAGAAACAGTTCCTCATGTCTACTAACACAAGGAAAAGCCAGCCCCCCCCCACCCCCCGCCCTGTGCTAGGACCAAACTCAGGGCCTCAGGCATGTCAGACAAGTGCGTTACCCTGAGCCACCGCCCACATCTCCAGCTCAAGAAGACTTGTTCAGTTTAACTCACACTGCATTTCATCTAGCGTTTCATTTATATTGTCAATTATTCAATATACATGGAATAGAATGTCATCAGTGCCTGAGAGGCCCTCCTACTGTCCCTCCCGTTCAATAAGGTCACTGAAATAAAGCAGTATCTATCCGAAAGGTAACTGCCACCCTTATGTATAACATCATAGACACATGGGGTGACCTCACTTTGCAACCCACGGTATCTGATGCAGTTCTCAAGAGCAAGAACTCACTGCCTCGAGAAAGGCACAAACCCAGTCATGAGTATCCACCTCATGACCCAAGCACCGGCTCCATGGCCCCATTGAGGAATTAAGTTTCCAACATGGACTTTTAGAGGACACAGGTCTTGGAGGAGGCACAGACAGGAAGTTTATTCCAGCATTTGTCCTAGTGCAGAGTTAGAAGCCCCTAGGGAAGCCCCTGAGTTAGGGTTAGGACATTGTCGGTTAGTTAGGACTTACATGGAAAGGCGTGCAGCACTTGGTGGTAGGTCTACACAGAATGATATTGGTAGGTCTTAAAAATTCAGTGATGGGTGACAAAAAAAAGTAAGAAACCACATGCAGTCCATAGAACAATATAATTTGTGCACATTTAAAATTTGTGAACACAAAATAAAAATGCATACTTATGTGACCACACGCTTATAAAGGGATACGTATCAAGCACATTAGACTGCTGTTTTGTAATGAGGGTGAGGGTAATGGGAATGAAGACAGGAAATCAAAGAAATCAATCAATCAATAAAGATCAGGGGGTTGCAGAGATCAATGATGATGATATGCCAAAAACACAGACACATAGCCTGTTGCAAAATTAGTTATGTGGGATATGAATCAAAAATATTTTATATCCATTTACCCAATAACTTCACACTCAGAAGCATATTTTACGTAAATAACTCAAAATAAGGAAAAAATGTTTATTCAAAGATACCCTTTGCAGCATGGTTTTTAATATTAAAAAGTGTAAACAATGCAAGTATTTAATAATAAAGATGGTGATTAAAGAAACCAGGGCATATCTATTAACATAATACTTTGCTAGCATTAAATTCATGTTTACATGGAGTTTGTATTGACATTGGCGATGCTTATAGCATATTAAAAAGTAAAATGTAGGGTACGAAATTGTACTTATATGCATTCAATTGAAATTGAAGCATGCTTTGAAATATTATTATAGAAAAATACACATATGTGAATAGTGGTTTTATATGTGTGATAGGACTGTAGCCAATTTTTCCTTTCTTCCTGCATTTTCAAATGTAATTTAATGAATAGCTATTACTTTCAAAAATGTAAGACAAATTCTACCAGGAAAAGAAATTATTGCTCCCAGTTTAAATGCAAATAACCTAAGAAAGATAACTAATCATGAGCTGTCGGTACTTAGTTTCTAAGCTTAAGGAGACAGGACAAATTACAAGGCCCTCTGAGCTCCTGAACCGGGTAGCAGGCAGTGGATGGTGGTTTCTTTAAATGAGAGGATGTTACTGTGGAGGCTTTGACTATGTCACTGAGATAAAAAAGAAATGGGGACTCCAATGAGAACCAGACAAATCCATAATGGGATGGCAGAGAACTTGTTTAGACCACTGTTAAAACAATATCTTTGTCTATTTGTGCTGCTATTTAAAACATACCATAAATTAGATAGCTTATAAACAATGCAATTTATTTCTCATGGTTTTTGGAAACTGAGAAGTCCAAGATCAAGGTGCCTGCAGATTTAGTGTCTGGTGACCACCTGATTCCAGATGGAGGTTTCTCACTATGTCCCCACGTGGTGGGAGAGGTGCACCTGTTCCTTAGGACCTCTTTTAAAAGGAACTTTAGGCCTTGAAGGAGGAGTGTTGTAAAAATCTGCCCAGCACAGGAAGCACAGAGCCTTTTTATGAAGGTGCTATTGAAGTCATACACTTCCCAACTGCTTTGCCAGCCTTCCTCCACCATCCTCTCCACATCTGCCACCCCTGCAACCCCCACTCATATGCACTAGTTGGAAGCTTTAGTCAACCTGGAGCAAAAAATGAAGATGGGGAAAGTGTAGATAACTGCTCCCATTTGGGAGAGAAGCAAGCGTCTGTAGATTAAGCTGGAAATTGGCACTGTAAGTGTCTATTGTTTCCAAGCACGAACCGAGACTGTGTTTCACAACTTAAAAGCACCGTAGCACTTTGTGTTACCTAAAAGAGAAGAGAAAAAGTTAATGAACCTGTCTGATTTCATTCGGCCACAGGGAAGGAACCACTTTCATGAATAAATGGGGTATTAAAAAATATTATTACTTGATTATATTATTTAATTCCTGTTACATGTGTATTTCTCTGACTTGGCAGGTGACTATCCTCAGTGTGAGAACTGGAAGCAGCTAGTTGGAAGTTCAGGCAAGATTCTGTTGCACTGTGTCTCCAAGTATCCTCCTAGAAGCTTGGGGTCCCTGAGTTCCTTTGCATGTGCATGAGGTCAAAGCTATTTTCAGGATTCTAAGATTTGACTTTTCTACTCTAATTTTTGCACAAGTATTTAAAGGATGTTTGTAAAAGTCACATGATGTATTCTAGGTGAACAAGTTAAGTGTCAAAATAGACACAGACTCCATTTATCTTTTATTAAGGAAGAAATTAAAGGGTTGTGCAAAAAAAAATGTACAACAGTGTCACTTTTATGACTTTTCCTTTTGGAAAACAGTCATTTATATTAAAAAAGAATCATTTATACAATATGTAGTGGGTTTATAATTAGTACTTTTAAATACATTAATAAATAAATATTTTAAAATGTATCAGTATTAATGTTATCATGGCAAATACTGACAGATATAACTTACATAAACAAAAGCTATTTGGGTTCCCCAATAATTTAAAGCAGTTGAAAACTGCTGTACTTATGAAATAGGTAGGGATTCAAAAGGGGAGACTGAATCTGTGAGGAGCTGATGCCTTTGCCCATTGAAGCATACAATTTGTTTATGTTTCCTCTTAGTTTTCAGAGTCTGAGTAAACACACAAGTAAAAGCATCCCTTTCATCAGTCAATCATGGAAGACTCCCCTCCACTGTGCGCCCGTGATAAACTGTGCAATGTGGCTCCAAGGGCAAAGTTAACTGCAATCATCAGGCAGGGCCCCAGAAGCAGTGAGCACAGAGAAGAGTGAAGTAAGTGGTTCTCTCTGGAGGAAGGGGGACAATGTCTGTAGAACCCCCTGACCATGGGAGCTCAGCCCTGGGCACTGGTTTTAGGGTTCATGGCAACTTACAGGCAATAACTGAGTAGAGCATTAGGAGGGGCTCCTTACACTTCCTCATCTGTAGCACTCTAGTGTTCTCGTCCATTTGGATCATTACAAGAAGGTACCATCAGCTGAAAGGCCTATTCACGTGAGAAATTCATGTCACCTTGTCATGGGGGCCCTCTCCAGGGGGTAGGTCGCTATCTTCTCATGGAGTCGCCTATAAGGCCACCAATCCCATTCATGTTGGCTCTTCCCCATGATCTAATAGCTTCCAAAGTCCCCAGTTTATAAAACCATCACATTGGAGGTTAGGATTTCAACTTATGGACCCGAGGGGGAGGACACGAATATTCAGTCCATGTCAAGTAATTCATTTAAAGAAATATCTTGTTTTCATCAACCTCAGAGGACCTGTTAATATCAGAGTTTACTTGCCTTTAGCTTTTATCAAGAAGTTTTAGAATTATAGGTTCTGCTAAGGAGGATGAAAAATGAGTAATGCAAGACCCATGCTCTCCGAAAATTTACTAAGTAGAGAAGAAGCATGTTCAAGAATTAGGAAGCCCGTAATCTCAATGGTAAAAGAAAATTTACTTAGTATTTTAATTTAGTTCAGTTCATGTCTGCTTCATGTTTTGTAGACATTTAATTCAAATTCATCCTGACCCTGTGAGTGAGGGGCTGTGAGTTCCTGTCCAAGGGTGAAGGAATGGAGTGCACAACAGAGACCTGTCCAAATCACATGGCCAGAAAGCAGCGAGTGAGCTTAATAGTCATTCTGTTTTCAAAATCCAATGTTCTTTCCATTGTATCTTTCTTCCACTAGACGATTTATTTACTGGATTCAATTTATTTGGGTTTATTTTGATCCCTAGTCAGTTCATGGTTCATGAGGAATAACTAATCTCATTCAGAAAGCAAAATGCCACATGTTGAGTCACAAGATATTCTTTCATGAAACAGGCCGTGGATAAACATTGATTCACGGCAGCATCTCACAGGACTGCTCTCTTAGCAAAGTTGAAAGGCCTCTTTATGCCTAGAAATAGATCTTCCAGCCAGCACTGGGCCAGGCCTGACTCATGTCATTACCCTGCTGTTAGTCCTGTCTGGGCACTAAACACAGCTTTGTTTTGTAAAACTACTTCACACTGTTGCCAGAGAAATTTAATTGAAATCACATACATATTTTTTTTAAACAGAAGTTTTGACTTATAAGAAATTAGTAAACATGTTAAGCATTGATTTTTTTTCTTGTTCTATTTATTTTTGAAAGGCATTTCCCTACCACAAGAGAGCAACATAATGTTTTTATTAGAGCATTTTAGTTGTACATAATATTGGGGTTCATTTTGACATAATTATACAAACATGGAATATTCTTTGCCCCAATTCAGTCCTTAGTACCTTCTTTTTTACCCCCTCCTTCTCCGTCTTCCCCTATTCCTGCTCCACTACTCTGATAGTCTTCCTTCTATTTATTTATAGTTTTTTAAATTAGTGCTTTATAGATAAACATAAAGGTGAAATTCGCTGTTGTATATTAATACATGTACATAAGATAGTTTGGTCCATTCATTCCGCCATTCTTCCCATTTCCTATGGCTTCTCCCTCTCACTCAATCTCTTTTCTCTATAGGCTCCACTGGTGGATTTTCTATTTTCATGAAGTCCCTCACCTGCCTTCTCTTGTTCCTTATTTTGGTCTAGATTCTGCATATGAGAAGAAACATTCTATCTTTGACTTTCTGAGTCTGGCTTATTTCACTTACCATGATGTTCTCCAGCTCCATCCATTTATATGCAAATGCTGTAATTTCATTCTTCTTAATAGCTGAGTCAAACTCCACTGGGTGTTAATACCAATCTTGAGATTCTTTTATATATTTAATATATTTATGTATGCTTAAATAGCCAATGTTAAAACAGCATATGTGTAAGCAACATAATATTTATTAAACAATAAATGCAAAAGTCCTCTGAGAACTACATTGGAAACCTAGTGAAAGACACAGATTCCCTGAAATATTAACCAAGAATATTATCTCTGTTTCTGAAGTTCAGAATGAAAAACAAAGAATCTCAAGGTTGACGCTTGATTCCATTTTCAAATTTTAGACACATATTTGAGAATTTCATTCCAGGAGGCTAAAAATCAAGTCTAGATGATTTCATGTTTTACAGTTATTTCAGAGTTTGGGTTTGTTTGACACTCTTATTACCTTTTTTTCTTTTAGGTACATTATTTTGAAGAAGTAACAAACTTCATTAACCAACTGCTACTAGAAAATTGGCATGAATTTTCTCACTGGAGACATTAAGTGGGTTTTATCTACGAGAAAAAAAGAAACATTTGATTATTTCAGGAAGACAGAGAAATGTAACTAGAAATTTAACGATTTAGTATCAGAACACCTGAATTAAAGGGTTGGTTTTGCTAATTGCAAGTCATGTGATCTTGAGCTGGGGGTTTGTGCCCACCAAGACTCCATGGTCTCATCTGTTCACTGGGTTCCTAAGATCTGGCTGTCCCAAGGTCGGCTGTCCCAATGACAGCTGACTACATAAACTACATACCTCTGATCAAATGTCAATGGTGAAACTTCTGATGGTGAAAACTTATTTGTCTTCTTAAATTATTTCATCATTGTAAACAGCATAATATTCAAGACACTCTTGTGGATAATAAAAGATTTTTCAGAGGAAGCAAAATCACCCTGGCCCTATGAGGTTGGAAGCTTAAAATATTATGTTAGTGTTGTTACTTAAAATTACTCTGATGGAAGGATTCTTCATCTAAGCAGCCCATATTAAATTCTGAATGTAATCCTATTGGAAAAATAGAACTACAACATCAGCAATACTCCTTGAGGGCTCTTGTCAATTTGACAGATTTGACAGGCAGACAAATTTAATTTATTAAAATATTCTGTCTAGCATTTTTAAAAGACAAGGGGTTTTTACACTGTAAATGGACTGTTTTCACAGCCTTATTAAAATAAATGCATAAAGTCAGCTGTTTTTCTTTGGAATTCATTAACATGGGATGCAACATTTCAAAAATTTGCAGTCTAGTAACTGATGCTTATATACCTGAAAATTTTGACAAACTTCTCTATCCTTTCCTATAAATGAAATTACTCCTTCTTAAAATAAATGGGAATTCCACTCAAGAAGGAACATTGTGCTTGTGTAGTAGACCAGATCTCATGAAGATATTTCCTGTAGTTAGTAGAGGACTTTAAAAAGCTAGTGAATGCTTTGTGCCAAAGGCCATTGTCAACACATAAACCAGCTCAAGGTTTTTTTGTTTAGTTTTGTTTTTGATTTTTTTTTAAGCAATAGACCTAGGTTTTTATTTTCTTCAAAGAAATTCTATTATTTGTATTGAAGGAATACTGCCAAAGTTAATAAGATTTTCCTGGTTTTTTTTCCAAAAGGCCATTTTAAAATTGAACATAATATTCTTTGAAATTGAAATATTTGTATGGACTGTGGGCCAAGACCATTTCTTAGAGTTGTCAATTCCCTCAGCAATTGTTCCACCTTGATTACTAATTGGATTTTGGCTGAAGAATCTTGGTCTGAAATACTTTGCACCTTCCATTTGACTGGCTGGTTTCCTCATGAAGCCTGACGTTTTCATTATTCTTTCCTTTGCCACCTCACCAGCCACTCTTCGCTCTCCTGTGGCCCTGTCCTTCTGTCCATGACCTTGGCCTCTCTCCTTGAGTGAGATGAACCTCTTTAGTCCATCACTGGTGTGGATCTAGACCAATTCCAAGAAGCTTTTATGTTTGCACAGCTTCCTTTGGAGAACTTATCCCAACCCTGAAAACTGAATCTTAAAAAAGCACTCCATCTATCAATCAAGGATCTTGTCTACAGAGATACACTAGGAGGTGAACTGATTTGTAAATCAAATGCTAATAAGATGCTAATCTTCACAGTTCAAAAGCAAGTGGGCTTTGCTTCTACACATTTAAGTTATACTTCTACAGACTTTGAAGGACTAAACTCACTCTAAAAGTAGCATTTTACAAAATAATGACATAGGATAGTCTATTATATTTAAATAATGAGTAAAAATATTAATCTATATTCCCAACTATTAATAAAAATCAAAACAAAAAAGCATAATTGTTTTGGAGTCTCCATGTCAGTCAATGATTTTGATTTTTTGGAGCACACATGTTTTCAAATGCTGCTTCCTTATTTTTAACAAATTATACCTTGGTAATGGTCTATATTCCAGGCCATAGTGGATGAGAGCAAATGGTGCGCCTTTCTCCACCAGATCTGATTCCTGAAGGCCAAACTGTGTATATATCAACTCAAAGGCTTGTCTTTCATAGGCCCCAACAACTGTTTAAGGAATTGACTTCTCATTAGAAAATTAACATAAAAGTGCACTTTATCCTACTGTGCTTATAGTGGGAGAGCTACTTTTGAATTAAATTAACTGAGTTGAATCACATCAGCATTGGTTGAGCATCAAATATGAACCAGATACTAGCTGCTAATGAACCAAAGATCAAAACGCCAAGATCTCTGACTCAAAATTAAAATCTATTTCAGAAGGCAATCAGATTCCCATTAACTTAAATAATTGTGTTGGACATAGTTTAGGGGTGGAAAATCGGAATATTAACAGGATACAATGAATGTTAAGTGTTTGGATAAAATGTTCAGGAACTCAATGGGAGAGGATCAGTTTGGCTTGTGGTTGCTGCTGAAGAGGGTGTTGAAGGAAAAGTGACTCCACAGAGCAGCCAGTATGTGAACCGGGTCCCTGTTAAAACTCAGGTTTTGACCTGTGCCTGAGGAAGGAAGAAGGATGGTCCACCCAAATGAAACAGCTTAAGCAAAGGGGCAAAAAGGAACGGCTTTTAGAGGAAGGTAAGGCTCAACACAAGGGTTTTCTAGTAAGAATTACTGCGATGGGTCAGGGAGTGAAGCTCCAGAGGCTGGGGGATGGGGAGGGAGGACAGACTGGAACAGTTTGCATGGACCAGAGGACCTGGATTTTTTTTTTTTTTAAGAGAGAGAGAGAGAATTTTT